CATTTCAATTTGTTGGCTGCTTGTCCCCCGCTTCAAACATCAGTCAACGTTTTCCTTTCAAGCATGCAGAGGCTAGGGAGCATTGTAAATATAAAAGACATTATTACAAACTGTCATTTGCAGACCCACAAAGTTGAGCAACACATTAATCAACGTGCATTTTAGCTTTCGTTTCTGTCTTTGCTAGTATTGACGCCCCTCACATGAAATGACTCTGCTTGCCAGGTCCTATATTCTCCGTATAGCATATAAGTGCGCGTTCTTATAACAGATGGAGCAATCATCAACGCAATTCAAGACAGGTTTAAAACGTGGACGGCCTTCTCGTGTTGAAGTGTGCTGGTCAGCTTGTTGCTGCGATACAGCAGATTAAGTACTCTCCCACTTTGAGTTGGAAAGTCGATTTGCGGGCGACATCTGACGGACATGGCCATGGTGAGATAAAACATGACATTCATTTTGCCAAACCACAACATTAAAACCTTGAATATTCTTAAAAATAGCCTTTTGCATGTGTAAAAATCCACAAAACGCATTACCCAAAGACATTTCATTCGGTTATTTTAGGATTTTCATAGGTGTTGATAACGTCGCATGTCCATTCCATGAGCCGTTCTGCTATTCCAGCTATACGATCGCTCAATACTTCTTATAGTTCTAGTATATACAAAATGACGGTGCAGTGTCGTAACAATATTTGTCTGTGACTTAGTGATTAAGATGATGCTGGCTGATGAGATGAGAAAATTACCAGTCTTTGCATCTATTTAGCTTCTTTTGTTTTTCTTGGCATCATACCAGTGTGATACCACTTTATTCTTCCTTCCTTTTCGAGTGCCTTTAGAGGTACCATCTGCTGCTTAAAATATTGACCAGTTTCTCTGCAAGAAGATCAAACTGCAAGCTTGTACGTATTTCATACCTAACTTGGATAAATTCGCCAGCCGCACAAACATGTTTGATATGCACCCAAGCGTGAACAGTTCACAGGGAATGAAAGAGACAATTTGAAGCACGGAACTCATTTTTACCGCCATTTTTACCCTCTTAAACCTTCGGTAAACCATTTTCTTGGTTCATGGCGGTGCTCAATAAGGACAAATCCAAGCTTTTCGAGTCTCTGACCTACCATGCTACCTGGCAAGGATTAAAATGGCCTTGCGTAATGCTGCCTCCATATGGCAGCATCAGAACATGCTGCCATATAGAGCCTTGAGACAGACCTGACGCAGCTAATACAGAAGTGCTTGATGGCGAATTTTTTCCCTGTGGAGACGTTTATCATGTGCACCTCTTGTTTCGCATTTTAATCTCGAAGGTTGATGGGCATGATTTATATATATATATATATATATATATATATATATATATATATTGCATGGTCTGCCAGCAGACCATGCAATCTTATCTTACTTGCTTTCAACACATGATTGGTAACGAGAGTTAGCCATTTTCTGTTTTACTGCATCGAGTTTTACCACAAAACAAATGATGATGCCTCAAGGCATGAAATTGGCTTACTTCGTTCCATATTCTTGGTTATTTGCCCCAATTTTCTTAAGGTGGTTCCTAATGGCTACTTTAACCAGATGTTTTCCATAGCTGTCATGGTTTGCTGACCGGCAAATGACTGTACTGTATATCTGTACTATGTTTTTAACACAGGGATACTCTAAGCTACATAGCAGTTATAATATCAGTTAAATATTGCTATGTAACAAATAGTCAGACCACCCCATTTCAAGTGTGAAGCCAACATCTCAAATTATATCATTAAATATGAATAAAATAGCCCAAGTGGATGAATTTGCTGCGGCTGAAAAGGCAAGCAGCAATACTGGCATGGCCATCTAAAAGTTATGTTATTTTTGGAGAACAGAGATTGTTTTGTGGAGCATACCCATTATTGCCCTTGACATAGGCCAACCATGGCGATCAAAATGAGTTTTTCAAAGTAATTTAAAGTGTTTTAATTTGCATGTTGCCAACTTGATCTCATGTCAACAAGCATGCAAAAATAAACGGAATAAAAATGCAAGTTGAAACCAGCCAAAAACTAGCTTTAAGTACCAGGTTTTAATCACCAGTGCTGCTGTCAACAGATAGGTGAGTTCAGATGATGTTCATCCTACGGGCTACTCTAAGTTAGGTTAAGTTGGCAAGTGCATGGCAAGTGGCAACAGGAATTGTGCAAGAATCAATAACTCACAACTGGTGCTGTGATGCAAGCATGTTATACAGCATGAGATGACGTAAGGCCTCTTTAGGTTAGGCATAGGCTACTTTCATGGAAATAGTCATTGATATTTTGTAAGAAGCAGTGACAAAATGTTTGCTCTCCCTGACTCCACCTTAACAGAAGCCAGAATTATGTCTATTGTGTTTGACTTGGTGCTGGGCTGATGTGTAGGAGTCGAATGTTTTGTTTTGTTTGAGTGTTTTTTTGCTTGTTGAATTTTCTGTTGTTATATTGCTATTTAATTTGCTTTGCCTTGATTTGTTTTGTTTTAAAAGTGCTGTGGAAGGGAACTGAAAAGTGCAGCATCAAATTATTGTTGTTAGTATTTTGTTATGCTCATAAAACTGTCATGAAATTACTGTGCTGTAACACGCGCCCAGTTGGCCGGCTAGATTCCCTTCGCTCGGGTGTGGGGGAGGGGTAATTTGAACCCCCCTCTGAGATCTCGAGAACTGAGAAAGCTAGAGACACCAAATTCACAGGGTGTCTTAACCTATACGTGAACTCACTTAGGTTAGGGTTCCAGCTTCATAGGTCATGACCTTCAGGTCAAATAAGGTCAAACATTTTCAAATTCCAGGTTGGTCTCCAAAGCGCATCAGAACCTAGGCAACTGTCTCTAAGAAAAAGGTCACAGGCCCGTTTGAGGTCATTCACCTCATTTGACACTTTGAAGGTCATAGTGACCAAAATGATGCAAGACTCCCCTGGGTTTTCATTTGAATAAGCGACAACGATTACGCTAGGCAGCATGCTCCTGAAGCAAAACGTCCGACCCGGGTCGTCTTAGGTCATTGGCCTGTCCTGACCTCTAAGAAGTCAACTGAAAATGCATAATGCGGTTCCTGCTGTCAATCAATTCGAAATGAGCACCAGAAACTATCCCATACAGCAAGCCCTAAATTAATAAATCAGGTTGGTTTTGACCTTGGTCTGACCATTATGCCTGAACTTAGGTCAACGTAATTTGTTCATTCAATATTTGCGGTGCCTAAGAAAGCACCTCAGATGTGTATGTATTCGTCAAACACTCCGTTGTTGTATCTGATTCAACGTTTCCCTATAAACTGTCTTCGTTGAAACCATGGGCTGACTTTGACCTGTCATAGGTGAACGACGTTACAAGATGCATCTAAAATTGGTATGTCAAACGATCTGCTATGCAATCTTCTACAGCTTTGCAAAATGTGGTGCGGCTACGCCGCGATGTTCAAAGACCATTCGGGGAAAGCCCTCGGGGGTCAATTTGCCCCCCCCCCCCGCCCGAGCGCGTGTTAATGTATTCTGTTTCACTTTAATGGCCTAAGATGTTAAAAAACGAAATAGTTTTGTCAGGTTTCTGATATTACGTCCATGCCAACTTGAAATAGATGTCTTTGTTTGCTGAAGCATCCGTCACGATCTCAAAGTTCCGTCTTTTGTGAATGGATTTTTTCACTCCCGCACGGTCTTTTGCGATGGAATTTTTCACTCCCACCCTAGTTCAAAAGCGATTCTAGCTCCCTGGCAGCAATTGGCCAAACTTACTTCTAATCGAAACTTCGAAAACTTTGCCGTGGTTGAGCCAGACCAATGGTCTGGGTAGTAGCCAAAGCGTGCTTGGAATTTCAGGCCAGAAAGGGACTTACTTCGGGCAATGTTGAAATCTATTGTACCAAAAGTGGAGACTAAATGCCTTCTGTTTACCTAGCCTCAAAATTCTAGTCATTGTTACAACATAACCATATTACAGCATAACATAACTCGTCCGTCGCAATTCTAGCGACGAACATCTTCCTCTGCCCCGAATTTCTGGGCCGTGACTAGATGGTATGTTATTTATGTAAGCTCGTTACAAATTGGGGACAGCCAGCAGGGGGGGGGGGAGGGCTGGGATCTTTACTTGATAGCCCGAATGCGTTACGACATCGACAGGATCATCATCTCGTCTCAGAAAGCTAAGAAAAGGGAATTTTCGCCTCATGTTACAGAAAAGGTGCCAAAAATAAGAGTTTAAAGCGTGAATTTGTAGTGGCCGCGGCTTCAAACATAAAGCAGAAAACGCTCCCCCTGAGATATAACAAAGAGTGTCCGTAAAGAGAACCATAGATAAAGTAGTCCATTAATGCCTGAACGTAAAATATCTATTTTTTACATTGTTTGATGTTTCACACGGTGAAGCAAATAACTGCGCGATCTGGCTCGATGATGCTCGAGGTTTGATTATTCTTAACATGAGTGCAGGTAACAATATGGACAAACTATAATTTGATAGAAACCCACAATATCCTAGCAGCACTGACTTTTACGCTTTAGCAACACATATACAACATTTGAGCTGAACGTACCAAATTGCGTCAGATTGTGACCATAGCTTGGTAAGCTGAAAAAAATCAGAAAGAGAAACCTGGTCACCATAGATGTTAAAGAAGCGCCCAGAGGCATTAGAGCCAGTTAAGAATCGAGCCCGGGCTCCCAATGCGGAGGCTGGAAACGCACTCGATTGAGATGGTTTACTCATGGGGTCTTAGCAAAACATTTAAAGCAAAAATGATTGACAGGTATACTCGGACTTGTCTTTCCTGGGCCATTTTACCCCTCTGCCCCAATGATCACAACGGGAAGCCACAGCATCTTCTCAGTCACCAGGGGAGCAGCCGGGGCCAGGATCAGGAAGCCACGACAGTTCCAGCTCTCAATCCTTTCTAAATTCAAACAGAACCGGAAACCCTCAGCCTCAGACAGCGCAGTGCAGCATCCGGCATGCCACGCGCCAACTTACTTTGCCCCGACGATACCAAAGCCAGGCCAAGGACAAGAAGCAAAGACGAGCACATCCCGCCACCGCCGTCGCCGAGTCACGCGATACTGGACTGGCCACGTCTTATCACCAGGCGATCGCCAGCCTGCGCCAGCGGCCAGCCGTCCAGAGGCGGAGTCAGTGCATGCTGGGGAGGGGTGCTCGGTAGGCGGGCGATGCGAACAGCTGGCGGGGATTGCCGGACCAGGCGAAGGGGGACGCTCCAAAGGCGCTGAGGCACCGGTGACACTGTAATTAGCGGAAGGTTTGGGTCGTACCTTGCTGGCGCTTCGACCCCACGCCTCCCGTGGCGTCTCGTGCATGCAGCAGCACCAGAACTTTTGTAGCTGCACCTGTTTGCGTGTCACGTGTCGGTAGTCCGGACTTCCCCAGCACTTTCACCGAGTGGCCGCATCGCACAGCATTCATTGCGGACCAGAAACCAGGTACCAGGGAAGAACTACGATTTTTCTTGGAGTATTTTTAACGACCTTTAAATCATTCGCAAGAGAAAGGTCATTCAGCAGGCCGAACAAAACGTCGAGAGACGGCCAGAGCTTTCACAGGTACAAAGCCTTAAGCTTTGCAAGGTACATTTTCATTGGTATCTCTGTCCGTACCTCTGAAATGTCCCCCCCCCCCCCCCCCACCTGGTCTGGGCACCATCATCAACACCTCATCCCAAACTCTTAACCGAGCATCCCCCTCTGCGGCCCTGCCTCACCTCCTGCGACCCCTGCATCTCCCTCTGCGGCCCTGCATTACTTCCTGCGGTCCCTGCATCCCCCTCTGCGGCCCTGCATCACTTCCTGCGACGCCTGCATCTCCCTCTGCGGCCTTGCACCACTTCCTGCGGCGCCTGCATCCCCCCTGCGGCCCCTGCATCGTTTCCTGCGGCCCCTGCATCTCTTCCCGCGGTCCCTTCGGGAAATTAGAAGGAAGTCCCGAAGGGCTCGAAGATCCCCTCGGAGACTAACGGGAATGCGTGCCCCCCCCCCCCCCCACCCCCACCCCCACCCCCACACCTGTGCCTCTGCCTTCGCCGCTGATTCTGGCTCTGGTGTTTCAGTTACAACCAAGACCGCTGTGAACACGCGCTTATTAAGTTCTGCATATTGCGGTGATGTGTTTTAGTGAAGCGGCCAATGTATACTGATTTTTATTCGTTTCATGGCATGCCATTAAAACTACTTTGATTCTTCCCGGCGTCACCGTGTCGGAATTCACCGCGAGAACATTCAGGCGCATAATTCTAGCCAGACAAGAACAGATAGACTTATGTTAAGATTAATGATGCATAAATTACCCAACAAAATAATCGTTACGGCGAGACGCCCTGGCGGAAACGCAGGATGTGGTCCAGGATAATCGCGCTCCACGCCAGGCGACAAAAGCATGTCCGGAGCAGGAGGCCGCCTGGGAGCGGGGCATCCGGCGCAACCGCGTCCCACGCCGCTCGCGTTTCCGCCGCACTGGGGTGGAGAGACCACCAGACCAGACCAGCAGACTTAAGACCAGCAGACTACCAAGAAAGACCCGCGCAGAGGCGAGCAGCAGACCAGAGCGGAGACAGCTGATGCAACCACCCGTCCCGCGGGCAAGTTCGTGGTACGAATCAGAGCCAGAGCCCAAGCCCCACCCAATCAGCACGCTGCAAAATATCACAACAGCAAAACCTCAAGGCCAGGCATCAACCCGGGACATACGGACGCTTGCCCTCCGAGGTCCTGGGGCTGTCCCCAGCCAAGAAAGAGGGTATGCAAAACGGACCTGAACATGGGCGCGTATGGGATCGAGCGTAGCTTATGGCCGAAAGCTGGAAGGAGGGGCAGGTAGAACAAAACCGGTGGGAGCCTCACATTCAGGGGGGGGGGGCGGACAAATAGATACAGGAGAGCATGAGAACAAAACGACTCCGAGGCTCAGCGAGACTGAGCCTCAACTGAGTCAATCACGCAGACCCAGACGAAAAATACGGTTGAGTTGCCCCTGGCTCGGACGTCCAGACGCCCGTGCCCTCCTGGTCCCAGGCTGGCCGGCGTTCCATCCTGGCTACGCATGGCCCGCGTGCGGCTCAAGCCATCTAGTGTCCTCGCCCTCCGGCTATGAACAGTCGGCCGCTCCCAGTCCCTCTGGCCGCCACATAAACGGTCCCTCCGCTCTCCCAGCACAAGACCAGCCACAGCACGCCCGAGCGAAGGCCATCGGTCTCGTCCGTCAGTAAGAGTGGTGACAGGACGGCCTCGGTCCGTCTCGTTCAGCCGATTCCCACCATCCGGCGGAGATGCGTCCAAGCATCATTAAATGCTTTTCATCTCAGTGGAATTGTCGCGGTCTGGTTTCAAAATGTTCTAAAATGAAAGGGCTTTTTGCCTTTTTAGCTCCAATCGTCATCGTCGTACAGGAAACACGGCTTCGTCCCGCCGACAAGCATAACGGAAACATGGCTTCGTCCCGCCGACAAACATAACGGAAACATGGCTTCGTCCCGCCGACAAACATAACGGAAACATGGCTTCGTCTCGCCCACAAACATAACGGAAACATGGCTTCGTCCCGCCGACAAACATAACGGAAACATGGCTTCGTCTCGCCGACAAACATAACGGAAACATGGCTTCGTCCCCCCCACAAACATAACGGAAACATGGCTTCGTCTCGCCGACAAACATAACGGAAACATGGCTTCGTCCCGCCCACAAACATAACGGAAACATGGCTTCGTCCCGCCGACAAACATAACTTTAAAATGCCAAATTAATCGTCATATCGCTGCGACGCCACAGACGGTAAGCGTCGCCAAGGTCAGGTGGCACTGTACATCAGACAAAAATTAACATACACGCTACTCACTCTTCAGACATTTCTTCAGGTTGTTGCATGTTCAGTTCCGCTGCATGGCCGTACCATCGATGTATGTTGAATATACATTTTACCAAACTATGACAACACGGAGCTCTTACGGCAAATTGACCAACTCGTTACTCAGTTTCCAAACCCTTTCCTCATCCTCGGCGATGTTAACGCTCACAGTCCAGCACAGAGTAACGGCACTCAGGCCATCAAGCGCCAAAAACATTTGGTTGAAGATTCTATTGATACACACAGTTTAGTTCTGCTAAACAAAGGTAATAATACTTACCATCACCTACCCACTGGAACGGAAACAGCCATTGACTTGCCATTGTGCTCTTACTCAATGGGGACTTCCTTTGGTTGGACCGTTGAGGGCGATGTCCACGAAAGCGACCATTTTCTAATTGCATTTTATATCCCTTTTGATGCCGCAGCTGATGCGGTTCATCGCTATATACCCCGTTGGAATGTACGAAAGGCAGACTGGAACAAATTTCAGGAACTTTGTTTTCCCAACCACTATCGCTATGACTCATCAGAGCAGGGAGGTAATCTCATCACACATATTCTCTATTCTGCAACAACAGCGATAACTCGACTAAAAAAATCCACTGACAATTCCACTAACAAAACCTCGATCACGACGCCCCCCGCGCAGCGGTGGACAGATGACGTTAAGAAGGCCATTGCCAGACGTAAACGTGCTTTTCGGAGTTACCAACGCAATCACAATATTCCACATTTACTCGCCCACAGCTCTGAACGCACTCAAACCAGAAAGCTGATAACAGCCGCCAAACGTTGATGCTGGCTAAGCTTTCTATGACAATTTACAGCAGCTACTCCGTGAAGCAAAATTTGGGGATTAGTTCGGTCACTTTCTGGTAAACGGACTTTATTTTCATTCTCAGTTTTCAGAGTCACCAACGCCTTAATGACCTCGCCGCAGCAGATCATAAACGCTCTTGCCTAAATTATAGCCCACTGTAGTTCATTAGACATTTGCAAGCCAAGATTCATCGATCATGCGTGACTCAGTTTCAATCTGCTTCCGACCTGTTTCCTTTCTAGTTATACAGGGACTTGCGATGCATGATTCTGCTAGAGCTTTGAAATGCAATTAAATCCACCGGCAATATTTTGGTAGGTCAGGATAACTTACACCATCCCCTCTTTCGGCATTTACCTGACAATATGCTTCAGCTCATTTTGAATCATTTGAATGACCTTTGCTCTTCCTATGCTGTTCCAAACACATGAAGGACACCATAATCGTCCCATCTCAAAAACCAGGCAAGGATGCTCACGACCCAGGCAACTATCGTCCCGTTGCACTGTCCAGCTGTCTTGGAAAACTCATGGAACGCATGGTTGGAGAGCACCTCGCGTGGTTAATGGATCGTCATAAGCTGACACGGGGTCAACAATGTGGATTAAGACGGAACCGTTCCACCTGCGACCATGTAATACACCTAGAAACAGACATTCGTCAGGTATTTCGTAGAAAACGCCAAGTCACCGCTGTATTCCCAATTATTACTCGCACCTACGGTAAGACGTTTAAGCCGGCACTTATTTTCAAACTTTATAAGTAAGGATTTAAGGGGAAGTTAGCTTTTTACCTTATTGGATTTCTCACGTTTCTCACGTTTCTCACGGGGTCACGACCGTTTCGTGTTAGGTGTCGATCGGCTGTATCCGATGTTCACCTCGTAGAAAACGGACTTCCGCAAGGCAGCGGTATCTCTCCTTTGCTTTTCAACCTAATGATCGATGATTCCTTTGAGGAGCACCCTTCTGACATTTCTTCTTGACTTTTTGCTGATCATAGCGTCATCTGGTGTTCAGACACAGCATACGACCACTTGCTACTACACCTCCAAAACGCATTAGTCAAAGTGGAACAATGGTCAAGACGCTATGGTTTCCAATTTGCCAATATGGTTTCAAACTGTCGGCCGTTATGATTTTCAGTAAAGGGCGTCGAAGTACACTGGCATATTTTCTTAATCTCGACGGTTGCCACATTCCTTGTGTTTCATCATTCAAATTGATACGTGTCACTCTTGACCTAAGATTATCGATGTGTGAACTTGTTGAACGTGCCCGACCAAAGGTATGACACGCTTGAATTTGCTCAAATGCATGTTAGGTGCAAGATGCGGAGCTGACCGGCTTACGGTATTGTTATTTTATAAATGTTTGGTTC